GAGAAGTGGGAGGAGTTGGTATTGGTTTTCGTAATCAAACCGGCATTTGACTTTCCGGTGAACATTCCGGCGCATAGTCAAACATCGTGGGGTCGCTCCGTCGTGTCCGCCAATATTTTACCCTTCCTTCTCTTTGAATTTTCTTCCCCATCGAAGTCGCAATCAATCTTCCCTCGTGTTTCTGAATCCCAAAATGTTTTTCATTATTTTTCAATTCATATTTGGTCCGTTGTCAGTCTATGATGGTTCGTATTTTATCTGGTCAAATTTGGGGGCAGGTCAAATTTTCAGATCTCTACCTACTTCTACTTCTTCTTCTTCTTCCTCCTCCTCCTCCTCTGATCTTCTTGAATCTTATCTCATTCGTGTGGTTCCTCCAATTATTCGCTGATCATCAGGAGGTTCCACGATGATTTCGACGGAGAAGCCGGTTGAGGCTCGCGCTTTGGAGTGTTTAGGGCGAGGGTTTGATCTGACGAATGATTTTAGGTTAAAATTTGTGAAGGGGAGTGGCGCCGGAGGGCGGAGGTTGGTGGTGATCGACGATGTAAATAAAAGAGATATTGTTTTTCCTGATGGAGGTGTTGTTCAGGGAGTTTCTCAGGACATTCGTTGCGATAAAGGAGATCGAATTCGCTTCAAATCCGATGTTCTTCAGTTCAATCAGGTTCTCCACTTTTTCCATGTCTTTGATCTTCTAGTGCACTTTGTGGAATTTATTCGACCTTTTCTACGTGATTGGCTTAATGGATAGTTTGAAAATTTTCACCTAGTTTTTTGATTTCATCTCATGGATTCAAGTTTGAATTGGATTCATGAGTAACAATAAAATTTCCCCAAAACTCTGTCAGTAGGCATATCTAGCATGAAGCTTTTTCCCTGTTTATTTATTATTGTGGTGGGAATTCGAACATCTAACCTATTCATCGAGGATATCTGCTAGAACTATACTCGGGTTGTTGGAAGTACCCAAGCACTCAACACATCCAGGAGTGTTCCTGGCGTTCAACGAACATATTTTTTTGACAACACTGTCACTGTACAATTCTGAAAAATTAAGATTCATAGGCTTGATTCCATGTATTTCTGTGCAGATGTCTGAGTTACTGAATCAGAGATCCTCCATACAAGGAAAAGTTCCTTCGGGCTATTTTAATTCTATGTTTAATTTGAGTGGAGACTGGTTTCATGATGCTGCTGATGCCAATTATCTTGCTTTTGATGGTTATTTTATCGCACTATGCTATTTGCATTTAACGGCATCTCCACTTGTACTACAAGACGAAGTGAAGAAAGCTGTTCCATCCAATTGGGATCCAGCATCGTTGTCCAGGTACTTTCTAGATATTGTTGCTTGCGTTCTCTTTTCATATCAAGTGTCTGTTTAATTATTGGGATCCCTAATCGGTTGGAGAGGGGAATGAAATATTCTTTATAAGTGTGTGGAAACCTCTCTCTACTAGACGCAGTGTTTTAGAACTGTGAGGCTGACGGCGATACGTAACGGGCCAAAGTGGACAATATTTGCTAGCGGTATGCTTGGGTTGTTATAAATGGTATCAGAGCCAAATACCGGACGATGTGCTAGCAAGGACGCTGGACTCCCAAGGGGGGTGGATTGTGAGATTACATATCGGTTGGAGAGGGAAATGAAGCATTTCTTATAAGGGTGTGGAATCCTCTCCCTAATAGACGCGTTTTGAAACTATGAGGCTAACGGCGATACGTAACGGCCAAAGCGGACAATATCTACTTGCGGTAGGACTGGGCTGTTACAAATGATATCAGAGCCAGACATTGAACGTTGTGCTAGCGAGGACGCTAGACCTCCAAAGGGGTGGATTGTGGGATCCCACATTAGTTGGAGAGGGGAACAAAACATTTCTTATAAGGGTGTGAAAACCTCTCTCTAACAGACGCATTTTAAAACCGTGAGGCTGGTAGCAATTTGTAATGAGCCAAAGCAAACAATATCTACTAGCTGTGGACTTGGGCGGTTATTAATACATGTAACTGTTTGATGTGATGACTGATACTTCAGTAATTCATAGCGGTTGCAATAGAATTAGTTGTGTGATAATGATGAAACATACAACCTTCACATAGCTCTATACACCCTTTTTTCCCCACTAAAGGAGTCTTTTTCTTCCTATATTATGTCACCAAGTTGGTTGACAGTGATACCAAGTTTTAATTTTTGTGGGTGGATAAGACAGATTTGTATTGAAAGAAAAGAAATACAATGAGGGGAAGGGAGTCTGAGTAGTCCAGTGCTAGACCTGAGAAGCTAGAAAGATTATAAGAAGCTGTCTAAATGGAACCAATAAAAAACGAAGGATATTGCAGAAGGCTTTTATTCAAGGATTAGTTGAACCCGGTGTTTTTAGTACACCTATAATATCAAGCTCGATATTTTGTTTCTTGAGTTTCATTCTATTTTAACACTAATGAATTTTAGTAGGCAGGTTCATACAGACATATGGAACGCATATAATAGTAGGAACCGCCATTGGAGGTCAAGACTTAATTTCGGTACGGCAGAGACCTTCTTCGTCTATACCTCCTGCTGAACTTCGGAGACACTTGGAGGATCTTGGAGATATTCTATTCTCAGATAAAAGAAGTCCCTCTTCTCTGCACAGAAAAAGAGACGTAAAGGTATATCTATATGCAAAAAAATTGTTGAATTACTTTCTCTAAGAAACAAAAACATGTTTTTTTAACCTCTTACCTTTTTTTGTTGGGTACATGTAACAACTCAAGCCCACTACTAGCAGATATTGTCTTCTTTGGGCTTTCCTTTTCGGGCTTCCTCTCAAGGTTTTTAAAACACATCTGTTAGGGAGAAACTTTCACACCCTTATAAAAAATATTTATGAATATAGCCTTCTCACGACGTGACTAGAATAAGATATGTTCTATAAGTTGTACAACTGCGTCCTTGAGTTCTAAACTGTCTACTCTTCTCTTGTAGGTTCCAGAAATATTTACAAAAATTTTGCAGTCAAGTTCGATACAGTTGGCCAATATTTCAGAAACATCAAGCAAGGATGTAAGTCGAGAAAGAAAAACCTGAATTTGTTTTGGAAAATTGTTTCAGCCCGTAATACTCTCTTCTTTACTTTCAACATAACAGGGAATCACCTTAATTTGTTCTAAACGAGGAGGGGATCCTTTCCTTCACAGTCATACCAGCTGGCTTCAGACTGTTAGCTTTAAACCAGAAGTTATTTTATTCAAATTTGTACCTATTACTTCTCTTCTTACTGGGGTAGCAGGCAGTGGTTATCTCAGCCATGCGATAAACTTGTACTTGCGCTGTAAGCTACTCCATGCTTGTTCTAGTTTTCATTCTTGTTCAACTTTACCTTCTTGCCTGTTTAATTTCCAGTCAAACTACTTGCAATATTGTATTACTTCTGGAGAAATAGCCTTTTAAAAATATATAGATCTTAATTCGTTTCATGCATGAAACTGTTGATAGAATTTACGGACATTTTGATGTAAATTGAGCATTTTTATCCTTTAAACGGGATGTAAGTGAATAATCCTTAGAAGTTTTTCACTCCTAACTGCACTTATTGACGTCTTTAATGGTGTTGGTTCATTAGTTGATCCTCCTATTCTTTTCTCTTAAAATAGTATTACTATTCCCCACACTATCAATATAGATCTGACTGACTTGATTCTGCAATTTTAGATAAACCTTCTTTGAATGACTTGCAATACTTCTTGGAGTTCCAAATTCCGACACAATGGGCACCAAACTTCTGTGAGTTGCCTCTTGGGCATCAGAGGAGAAAGGCCACCTGCCCTACCCTGCAGTTCACTTTTATGAGCCCTAGGACGTACATCACCTCCACCCAGGTACTCAATTTTTCCTATTGGTATTCTACAAATGTTATGAAACCATCTTTACCAAAAGAACAACGCTGCATAGTAATGTAAAATTGAAGTATGTTTCTCGTGTTTCTCTGGTTTTGAGCAGTCCATTGATGCTAGCTGATTCTCAGTCACTATTGACCCTGTTTTGGTATTTGAACTATCCCTTCAGGTCACAAGTAGTAGGAAACCATTAGTTGGTCTTCGCCTCTATTTAGAAGGGAAAAAGTCCAACTGGCTGGCTCTACATGTACAACATCTAACCAGCCTTCCAAAAGTCATGGCTAGATTGATCGGCACATCTGATGAATCAAGACGAAGCCAGTGGATAGGCACTGACGACAGCGACTCCAATGGTCGATTCCTCGAACCTGTCAAATGGAAAAGATATTCAAATGTGTGCACTTCAGTTGTCAGGCACGATCCCAACTGGTTGAAGCAGGATGTAAATGGTGTCTACATTGTAACAGGAGCTCAGCTTATCAGCAAGGGGAAGTGGCCTAAGACAATACTTCACCTACGCCTGCAGTTCACTCACTTGCCCAATTGTACCATTCGAAGAACCGAATGGGCTGCTGCCCCTGAAGGTTCTCGCAAGTCGACTTTCCTCACAAATTTAAGCACAACATTTACGTTCACACAGAGAGCTGCTGCTGATAAAAAGAAGCAGGTCCCAGGTGCTTTGAACTCTGGTGTCTATGGAGAGGCGCCACCAGTCCCAGTTCGATCTAAAAAGCTTCTTAAATATGTCGATACGTCTGAGGTGGTAAAGGGGCCACATGATACTCCAGGACATTGGCTGGTGACGGCTGCTAAGTTGGTAACTGAGGGTGGTAAGATTGGTTTGAATGTAAAGTTTGCATTGTTAGATTATTGCTGATACAACAGTTGAATGTATAGTGGCATAGGCTTCTATTTCATTGAAGGGATTTTCTCACAATTTTGGTGTGGCATACTTAATGTCACATGATACATTGGATTTGTTTGTTGTACAAAGGAACAGTCGAAGTTAATGAGAGATTACCGGTCTGTGTTGAGTGTTTTTATTTTTATTTTGGTGTGTTTTGGAATAATTTGTTGAAAATTAATAATTTAAAGTGTGTTTAAACAATTGCTTAAGGGAAATCTAGAAGTTTAAAGCAAATACCAAGCTACAAATTAACTTCAAATTCTGAAGTATGAGAGTGCTCAATGAGTTTACATACAGTTCTTCAGGGAATCTCCAGCTCCCTGGAAGAAGAAACAAGAAAGGGTGAAATCAGCAATAAATATGCCTACAAGAGAGATGACTACGGCCGAAGTTGTGGACTCCCCGACTCCCTTAGCGCCCCCAGAAGTCGTAATACCCCAGGCACAGCTTACAATCGATATGATAGCTCCGAAAACCTGCGATTTGATCATCGAGCTGATAATATCCCACGACTTTAGAGCTCTCAGAGCTGAATCAAAGATAATGTCGATACTAACACCATAAACGCTGTCAGCCAAAAGGGCACTTGATGCCATCCCAACTGTGAAACACATTAGAGTTAGAATTGGAAGAGCAATGCAGGATGCTATAACTCTTGGCGTGACGAGATAATCGACAGGGTTCGATCCCAAGACTCTTAGCGTGTCTGTTTGCTCAGAGACTTGCATTGTTCCTAATTCTGCAGCATACGAACTACCGATTCGTCCTGCAACCACAATCGACGTGATCACAGGACTCAGCTCCCTTGAGAATGCCAGTGCTAATACACCACCAACAGATCTGTTCAATCCTAATCTAGTAAATTCTCTAACAAATTGGATAGTAAAGGCCATGCCAACAAACGCAGATGTTAGAAGGCAAACCCCTACAGATCTTGGTCCTACTCTCTCTAGCTGTTGAAGAGTATTTTTCCAATGGACTTTACCCTTTAAAGTCCTCATAATGACCTGCCCAGCCAGAAAAAGAACTGATAGCCCTCTCCATAGATACTTTGGTGGCGACCATTTACTCCACAACTCTCCTTCTATAGAATTAAGCACCGGATTTGAATTGATGTCTTCTGACATTGAGGCAGAAGGGTGCCCATCTTCTGCATTTGGGGTAGCATTCAATCTGTTTTTGCACAAAGGCATAGCAAATTTACGAGTCTGAGGTTCCACAAATACAAGTTTAACCAAGTTGCTTGAATGCAAGTTTTGTATATTCTTCCATCCACTTTGTCTTTTAGAGCTTTTTCTGCATTTCAGATTAAAATACCATTTTAAAGCCCAAAATAACAATGAAAAGTTCCATGCAGGAGAGAGTACAGAGAGAGAGAGAGAGACCTGATTGAGAAGTAAACTAGTGGATGGGGTTGACAAGCTATTTGCATAGTATGTTCCTGCTGTGGAACAGATCAACCAGTTCTTGAATTCGCTTTGAAAATTAAAGCACTATAAAAAATAGAGATTCCAAATCAATGTCATAAACATTTCTTGAACTCAAAACTTATAGTAATAATCTAAGATTTTTAGCAAGGAACAAGATGAAAACGATTGGGTAACACTACCCAAAACTAAAACCATTTCATTCCAATGGAAAAAAAGGAAATCCTGAACACCAAATCATGTTCCAGTAACTTCTTCCCACGAGGCATATCATAAGATTCAATGTAGAAAAGTTAAATAAATTTACTAAGGACACAATAAGTGTCATCCTCCCAATGCAAAGAATTGGGAAAGAACCCTCAAAACGTCGAAAGCATTATCAAAGAGTTTTTCAGTTCAATACAACAGAAATTTAATACTCCTTTTTGATAAAGTGAAACAAAACTTCAACGAAGTCAGAGTTATGCGACAGAAAAGGCCATGCAATTCGAATCATAAGAACAAAAACAAATTTCATTTCTCATTGGGGATGGAGAGAGCGAGAGGATGAAGGTAATTAGAAATCAGATTTTGGGTATAGAAAGGAAATTTACCTCAGCAGCAGTGATTTTCTTCCGTCTTTTGCATGAATCAAACAAGATTCACGCAGCTTTCTTCCTTGTGGATCAGTTCTTCTCTGCTGAAGAAGACCCGCGAAATCGAAGGGAAGGATCGAGGAATCGAAAATGGAACCGGAGAAAGAGAGAAGAAAACAAAAGTCAGGGTTTAGTTTAACAAAGAAAAAAAGAAAATGTTTAAAAATGCTATATTTTATTTCATTTCTAAAATTTGAAATTATTTAAAAACTATTTATTTTAAAAACAATTTCTCATACATGGGGATAACAGACATATATAATCAACAATTATATCACAAGTCAAATAACACGATCACGTTAATCAGACGATTTACGACTAAATATTTTTTTAATGTTCGTGAAAATAACAATTTGGTCTATATACTTTCAATTTTACAAAATTATCAGAATATTGATAGCGATTGTAGCTAAAAAAATTTACTGAGTGAATATACGATGAAAAAATATTTATCACAACATCATCACGGTCAAGAGCACACAATGTTCTCTTTTAAGAGTCCGCTGTGAGTGGAAAGGTCCAAAATGACCCTGAAGTATGATTGAAAATTAAGTTCGAGAGTGTTAACACCGATGACCCATGTTAATATATATTATATATAAATTTTGTAAAAAAATATTATTAAGATTAATTTTTTTTTAAGAATATATCAATATAATTAGAAATTAAATGTGTTCATAAATTACAAAAAAAAAAAGGAAAAAAAATTGTTACAATAACCAAAATGAACTCTTTAATATAATGGTTATAAAATTTAAAATTTAGAGAATTAAATTATTATTAAAAATAATAATTTAATGACACTTGAACTTAAATTAAAAGAGATAGCCGTGGAGAAAGAAAATGAGAGACGTGGAGGCGCTGAAGGAAGAACTGATACTGCAGTGCAGTTTCATCCAACAGTTGCTCCGGCGATGGAGATCGGTTTCTTACAATAGATCAGACCAAAAGAATTTCAAGAAGAAACTCAAGAAGCTTCCGTGGTTATCATCACCAACACCACAGGATCAGACCCCGCGGAATCCCCCACTCCTTCCGTTTCTTACCTCAAGGTCCCATCGTTCTTTCTCAAGCCCTTCCGAAAAAGATTCGATTACTGCACCGATAACATCAAGGAAAAAGAAAACTCCATCGAGATCGAGAAGAAGAAGTGGCTCGTCGAAGTTGCCTCCATGTTCTACAAAATCTTCGGCGGAGGAAAGTTATCCGCCTGCGGAATCGGAAGTAAAATCGATGGAGATGATGATGATGATGATTTTTTGAGCGAATCGGAAGCGGGAGAAGATTATCGCGAAGATCGAGAGGAAATTTTCGCGGCAGAATCGAATGGCGTATCTGAAACAGAGAATATAATTCGAAGCGACGAGAAGAATTCAAGCCAATCGAGACTTCCTACGTCGATCTTAGACCTATTTAGAAAGAGGAATTTCAATTTCAATTTCATAAAGAGCAGAATCTGCAAGGTGAAAAGTGGCTACCGAAACAGAAATCTCAATTACGAGAAAAATCTCAGAAACAATGAATCGGCTATGCTATTTGCAAACCGAGAAAATCATAAGCTATCCAAAGATCGGAAACAGACGAAGGAAAAAAAATCGACGGCAATCTCATATCATGAAGGCGATGAAAACGGACAACGGTTATGGCAGAAAAGGATTCTAATGGGAGGAAGATGCAAACCTCTGAGGAATACTTCTGTAAGTCTTCGATATGATCCAAATGGCTTCATCTAGCCACAGATCCTTCCTTCATTGATGAACATTGCAAATGCCAAATTCTTTGAGCATTTTGAGATTCTTCATTTGTAAATTCCCCCCATCTTTTTCCCGCTTCGTTTTTTTTTTTTTTGGATAAAATAAAATAAAACTTTTGTATAATTTATTTATTTTATTATTCACTGAAAGCATTAAAGCTTTTTTAAAAAACTAATTTTCCTCACTTTATTCGTAATTTTAAAAATTATGTTGTGCAACAAAGGGGTTATTAATAAATACACTAAATATACAATTAAAGTGTTAAAATTTTATTCTACAGAAAATAATATTTATATTTAAGAGATCCATTTTTTTTAAGAATCTATAAAAATAAAAAGTTGCAAATTAAAAATGTTAGAAATTTTAAAAATTTGTGTGATTTTTTTGTATTATGATGTAGGGAGCTTGCCACCCAACAATTAAACTATTGAGGCTCCCAATTTAAAAATTTACGGTAGTTTTGAGATATGGGTCGAAATTAAATGTTGATATCTAAGTTTAGAAGTCGATTTTGTAAATCTAAACGATGTTGTTGGTGAACGTGCTTGTTTGTACGTTGCATCGCCCTTACAAGAAGGCAGGTTGCCATCAAAGATATCATGTCATTGTTGTAAACACAGTGTCAAGTATTGGTTAGAGTCGCAAACAATGTCACGAAGGTCTTATTAACCAAACATCAATTTGTAGTCAAAGTTAGCTAAGTGTCGCACATCATTTGCTCCCGTTGTAGGTTAGGGAGGTGGAGTTATTCTCAAAAAAAAAAAAAAAAAAAAAAAAAAAAAAAAAAAAAAAAAAAAAAAAAAAAAAAAAAAAAAAAAAAACAATAATAATATAAATTAAATACATGAGTTGTGGCTGTCGCAAACAATACAGCTGGGGCCAGGTGTCATTGATTGGTTCTTGTTGCAATATCATGGCTTTCTTTTAAACCAATATTCTCCCTCTTTTTAAATTTATTAAATACTTTTTTTTTTTTTTTAATATTTAAATTTCAAACTTCAATCTTCAACGTGTCGGCCAATGTTCTGATACGACCATTCTTCATATATTTCCCCAATATTTTCCAATTAAAAAGAATTATACATTTCTTCGTGTAATTACATTTTTACCCCTTACTTTAAATTCAATTTCATTTTACTTCATAAATTTCAAAATATTATATTTTTAACCTCTTTAGTCTTTTAATTTTCATTAATTAAATAATTTTATTATTAACGAAAATAAGTGTAACTCGAGAAAACTCAAAATTAAAGGGTAAAAATGTGATATTAAAAATTATGAATTAAATAGAAATTATAAATTATAATTAAGACTCTTAAAAATAATATATTTTTTTTTTCTTTTGATTCGTAAATTTTATTAAGAAAAAACTAATTTTAAAATATTAAAAATAATGACCTTAGGGATTCCGAAATGGGTTTTATAAACAATGATGAGTAAAATGAGACAAAATAAAAAATGGGAAAAAATAAAATAAAAATACATTCCCTTAATTTTCTGCGGGTAAGTTGCGTTGTCTCTTTTATCTCTCTCGCGGTACGTCCATTCTCCTTCGCTGCTATTTCCTCGACAGAGCATTTATTTGTTCTTCCAAGACCATGTTCAAAAATCTCGCCTCTTCTACTTTCCTCTCCAACTAGCTTCAGATCCGCCATCCTCATTCCACTCTCCGGCGTAAGCATTTTCTTTCATTTCTGATCCATCCGCCTTCCTCCCTCTGCGATTGGTATGCTCTTCTATCATTTTACTGCTTTCCTTTCAGATCTTGCGCTTTATTTTTCTTTTTCATTTACATCATCCACAGCCTTGCTCTTGATTCAGCTTATTGATCGCGAATGTTTAGTTGGAATGAAGTTTTGATTTGAATTCGGAATACTGTTTTTTTTTTCTTTTTTCTTTTCTTTCTTTGAATTGGCCTTTTGTTGCTTTTGATGATTGATGATCGAAGTTTCCATTGATGCTAATGATCTGGATCCTTGATTCTTGTTCATTTAGGTGAATTTTGGTTTGGTTTGGTTTGGTTTTGTCGGTGCTTTTAGTTGGAAATTTCCAATTCTCTTCCACCGACTTGAATTTGTTTATACTTTTCACAATGCCAGATGTGGATCATGATTTGTGGTTCGGTATTTCTCGTCCATTGGACTGCTGATGCGTGTATGCATATCTATCAAAGTTTGTAACGTACATTTCATTGTATACTTACGTGGCTAGCAATGTAGATGAAAATTAAGTTTCCTTCCATGGTGTGTTTGATGTCAGATAACCATAATTTGGAATTGTAGTCGTTCTACATGTACTTTCATGTTCATTACTTAGATTTATAATCTATATTCCAAGCTTTTAAACGCTCTTCCTTGTTTTTCTCTGAAACAGCCCAGAATATTTGAGGTGAGCTTCACTTGAATTTTAGTATCATCAAGGCATCAACGATGAAGAAGGTCTTTGGCCAGACTGTTCGGGATATGTGAGTGATAATTCACATTTTAATGCTCATATATGACTTCATCACTGCAAGTGAATATTAGAAATAAAAAGTCCTAGCACTGGATGATGTAGAGCCTGTTTGGTTTCTGGTTTATGATTGAAGTGCACAGCTGTAAGGGTTGTAAATTCTATTTGACATGTTTCTGAATTTCAAATGGACGTTTTCTTGCAACATCCTAAATTATTTTTGAAGTTCTAATTAGGGAAAGTTAAGTTTAAAATAGAGTAATTTAAAAATATTTAAGAGTTTAAACTGGAAAATAAACATTTATCAGTATATGAACTTTTTCCAACTTTAATGACTTCATTTTATCATACTGTTCAATAAAGCTTTTCCAGCTTCTACTTTATTTTTAGTTAGTATGATTTATAAATGTTTTAAGTTCATAGAAGAGAGTAACTTGTAATTTGATCACTGTGTAAATTATAAAGATTACATAAGACAATTTATTAACTGTAGTGTTAATAGAATATACATTATAATTCTAAATTATCAACAATTATTTGGAAAGGTTGTTGTACTTTAGTTGGGTTTTCTATGTTCAAAATTTCTATATTAGTTTTTTAACTTTTATTTAATCAATCTGCTGTAGAAAGAACAAAGAATGTGATGTGGAAAGAGTTGTGAAATGTGAAGTTATGGTAAATTAGTGTATCTTAAATTTCCAAAAAAAAAAAAAAAAAGAAAAAAAAAATGAATGAAGGTCTATATGATTTATGATACAGAAACTAGTTTTGCAAATATTAAAAACTAAGAAAACAAAGTTCTATCTGATAGGTTCTTAAAAAGTTCAAATTCATGTTAAATAATGGTGTTCTGAAACTGTTTTCGGAGCATATAGTTTAAAGAATATTTGAATGATGAAAGCTTAACAATTAGCTTTACTTTAAATTTATGCTTTTTTTATACTTCTTGAAAAGTCTTGTAGTACTCTAACTAAGGACACCAGCAAAGGACCCTACAACCATTCTACCGAAGTACCGAAGCTTCTCTTCCCATTCTTAAATGATCTCAAGCCTCAAGGAGAGACTCTACAAAACTTCTAGCCATAGTACTTGTGAATTAGATATTTTAAATCAAACATGCTTTTAGTTTTAAATCAAGAATTCTATATTAAATGTTCTCTGCAAATTATAAATTCAATGCTCTATGCCTATTCTATAGAATCAATGTGTTCCATGCTTCAAAAAACCTTAAAATATTATCTTAACAAAACTTTCCTGGATTCTTTTCTTAAAAAATTAATTTCAGGGTCTGTGCTTCGATGTTGGCGTTTTCCCTCTCTTTGTATGCTTGATTACCTTTTTGCATGATGTTTACTTAAATGGCTTTGTATTTCATTTTCTTGCAGCAAGAGAGAGGTCAATAAGACGGTGCTTAAAGTTCCTCGATTGGAGCAGAAGGTATTTTTTTTTTCTCCCTTAATGATTTTCTTTTGCTCTTCTCTGATAGATTCTCCTTGTAGGTGAAAATCGTTTGAAATGTGATACCTGGTCATTTAAGACTTCTAACTCTGACAATAAGATCATTTCCTGCCTGGCAGGTTCTTGATGCTACTAGCAATGAGCCTTGGGGCCCCCATGGAACACTTCTTGCAGAGATTGCTCAAGCAAGCAAAAATTAGTAAGGATCACATTTTTTATTCTTTTTGATTGAAAGTGTTACCTGGTTTTCATGAATGATTTCTACTACCCACCCTGAATTAGAATAGAGCTCATCCTAAATCTTAATGCAGTCATGAGTGTCAGATGATCATGGCAGTAATTTGGAAGCGTGTTAATGACTCTGGCAAAAATTGGCGGCATGTATACAAGGTTTGATTTCTGTCATTTGATATTGGCGCACATGTGTGCTAACATAATCTTTCTTCCCCCCAACAGTTCATTGTCTTCACAGGGGAAAAAAATGTTATCTTCCATCAGTTTTTGTCATGATTTTTGAAAGTCCTTAAAGCTTGATTATATTATTCAGGGAAAAAGAAATCTTGATTTTCTGTTTCTTGCGTTCTTTAAGGGTACAGTTCTTTTAAAAGAAAATATGTTGTGCTTCAGGGTTTAACTGTATTGGAGTATCTGGTGGCTCATGGATCCGAACGAGTAATAGACGAAATCAAGGATCATGCATACCAATTATCAGTAATACAGTTTCTTAGTTCTTTGTAACTACATGTTTTATTTAGTTTTCTCCATTTTTTTGGATGTTATTCTAATTTCATAATCATTATTTTTTTTCCACTATAGGGCTTGTCCAGCTTTCAATATATTGATTCTAGTGGAAGGGATCAAGGATCAAATGTACGAAAGAAGTCACAGAGTCTTGTGCTGCTAGTGAATGATTCTGAAAGAATCAGTGAGATTAGGCAGAAGGCTAATACTAACAGAGACAAGTGAGTGTAGTCTATATCTATCTATATATATATATATATATAATGCTCCATCTCTTTTCTGCTTCTTTCTCTATTCAATTTTTCCAATTTTGTCTATATGGCAGAAGTGTCTGTGATTTTAATGCCTGCAGGTTATTTACTTAAAGTTTGGCGATCAATCTTGTATGATAGTATGTTTGTGAATCATGTTCAATGTTTTCTTCTCCTTTCTTGGTCTTCAACTTTGTTTAATATTTTTTCCTTTAGAATCTGCATCTTTATTGTGTTGTCTGTTAGCTTCTCAAGCAAACTTCTCTCTGTCAAATATTGTAAGAACAGCATGAGCCTGAATTTTAGCCTGCTGAACTTGGAAATTAAATAGAAGTTTTGCCATGAAAAAAAATCTGTCATTTGTTCTTCTTTCTTTCTTTCTTCGGTTGTCTTCTTCTTCTTCCTTCCCCCTTTCCTCATACATTTTTAAAATTAGGATAGCTCCTTATAATTAGTTTAACGTGGTTGTGCTCAACAATAAATGCATTTGTATGACTGGATAGGTTTCGAAGTGCATCATTAGCTGGTGGAGCCAATAGGCCAAACTCCAATGCTGGGGGGTATGGAGACCGTTATAATGATGATTATAATGAGGGACGCTATAGAAGCAGGGACGAAGATAGGAATAGCAATGGTTATGGAAGGGAAAGAGAATATGACTATAGAGGTGATGACCGCGGGAGGAATTCTGACTCAAATATACGTGATAGAGATCAATATAGGAGAGATGGTGAAGAACGCTACGGAAAAGATAGTCCCAGGGATGGTGATAGTTGGGGACGAAGAAGTGTTGATGATCACCGATATGGTTCAAGAAGGGATCAAGACAATGATCATGATGACAATGCACGGTATGTATCATGTGTTATAGAATTATTCTTTCACTATTATGTAAAGGAACCCCTTTTTTGAGATAAGAAACATCAAAAGGTAAAAGAAAAAAAAAAGGTCAACAGCTAAATAACACAACCTAAAGGATAAAGAGACAGGAGTTCCTTCTCCAAAAAATAAGGGGTGAAACAAAAAAACTCTAATCGAGGTTGGTAAGAGAATCAAGGTAAGTAAGGAAAAAAAAGTGACGAGCACGCCAATTAGATGGATTGAACCAGACAATGTCAGAAATGTGATCAAGAGACTTTGACTTGTCAGAATCTTCTTACATTTCTTTCCTTCCAAATGGACCACAAAATAGCTCCACGGCACTAGACCAAATCACTCTGGTGTCCTTGACACCAACTAAACAAAATCTCAGGTAACCAATCTTCTGAGAAATTCGGGCAGTACCTAATTAAACTAAACCATACACTTACAAATAAAATTCCAGACCTTCGATACAAGTTTACAATGAAAGAGTGGGAGAGGGTTTCCTCCTTACTGTTACACAAAAACTGGGGGGGGGATAGGTGAATGTAGGAGTGCCTCTTCTGAACCTTGTCTAAGATACTAATGCTGTTGAGAGCTACTGTGCAAAAGAAAATTTTGATATTTTTAGAACCAATTCCTTCCCAGATCACTCTGATGTACAATTTTGGCATGGGTTGTACTTAGCCTGTATTTCTTTATCTTGCAGTGATGGTAGTGGAAGAGGTGATGACAGGTCTCCAGACGTGAGGTAATTCTTAAAAACTTTCATGGAATAGTGTGTTCAATTGAGTTCTATGAACTGAATTATGAGTTGAATCTCTTTTGGCAGGCGGCATGATCATAAATTTTCAGAGCAAGACACTGGTGCACCTCCTAGTTATGAAGAGGCAGTGAGCGAGTCTCAAAGCCCACCAGCTCATAATGATAGGTATTAGTTTTCCTCTGCTCAATTCTATTTCTAGTTTTAGCAGTTTTAATAACTGTTTAGTCAACTGGACATCTTTTATTGGAAAGGGACCAAGAAACCTCAAACTCTGCTCCTGCTACTTCATCTGCGCCTGTTACCAGTGCACCTAGCCAGTCGAGTCCCGTTCCTGGTACTCCAACATCTGGAAACCAGTTAATTGGGTCCTTTGATGCATTTGATTCTCGCAGTTCAGTCACAGGTGCACAAAACCTCTGTTAGTTTTTAATGCTATTAACCTCAGGTTGACCCCATTTAAATCTAGCTCTACCCAGCATGTGCTATAATCCTTTAAGAGTTTGATTGTGATAGCGACATTTACTGAGGAATATTAATAGTACTAAGGGCTTAAAGAAACTGGGAGACAGAGATTTCATTTTGATAGGGAAGAATCTCCCCCTCCCCTCTTCAGTATTGTGTATTTTGGTTTTCATAAGATTGCTGGAATCGGTGATGACAATATTGTTATCTACTTCACGAATATGACTTGAATTGTACATATCGTGGATAGGTAGTATGGTTCACTCAATTGCCTCTGTCACAGCGACATCGTGTTTTTCATAAAATATTGATTCAGAGGGCATATTTTAAATGATGAAGGTTCTTGGATGCTGTATACAATGAAGTGTATGTATGGACATATGTCAATTTGGTTGATGTAGGGAAAGTAGTAAAACGTGATCTAATGAAATAAATCTATAATGCATTTCATTCTATCGTTATAGGTAGCCTACTTCCCACGGTCACCATTTTAACGTAGTATAGTAGTTATGCATGAATTGTGTTATGCAATAAACATCTCCTCTGTATCCTGTTTCTTTGCAATTTTTTGAGTATAAATTAAATGCATAATTCTGTAGAGAGGTTTTGGATCCCAGACTGATATAGTGTAAAGGTTACTTACATATCGACATAAAAGTGTTCGCATGGTAGAAAAAGTTGATTTACAAGTCTTTTTGCATACCATCCTATCAAAGATAATCCAACATGGGTCTGTTAAGGATAATCCACTCTTTTGACTCAAACCAAACTATGAGTTCTCTTACTTTGTTGGTTCTTGGCACTAAACCACAGGTACTTCCCCTCTTTTTTCAGCTGCTCAAACTGTTCCACCAAACAATACTGAGATGGACTTACTTGGCTCACTGACGGATTTTCCTTCAAACCCATTGGCCATTATGCCAGTGGCATCTGCAAACGTGACTGGAGCCTTCGAGCCTGATTCCCACATGAACTCTGGTGCAGAAACCTCGCACGCTACTATGTCAGTAGCTAGTGTCAGTAATCAGGTATATGATGGTGCATTTTAAGTTTTTCTTTCACAGTGTAGAAGCGCCCACTCTGATAAAATTACATATATACATCGTTCCCTTTGGTTTTCCATTATCTGTCACAACTAAACGGACATTTTTCATATATTTTTCTAATCAAACACATAAAAGATAGAAACTTTAGTTGAACTGAATCCGTATTGAGCACCTTCGAATTATGTACTTGCAGAGTTTTGAAGATCCTTTTGGCGACACTCCTTTTAAAGCTATGCTTTCTGATGATGGTGCCCCTCAATTCCATTCTTCTGCTATGACAGATTCTCTCCAGTCTTCCCTGCATCAAAGCCTTGGTCAACCCCAACCTTTTTCCATGACAGATCCTCTCCAGTCTTCCCTACACCAAAACCTTGGACAATCTCATCCTTCTATTATGACAGATCCTTTCCAGTCTTCTCTGCACCAAGGCCTTGGACAATCCCAAGGAGCTACACCGGAAACAAACCAAGTCTCTTCTTCTGAATTTAGTAATGGATTTTCAGCTTCAACTGGTGCATCTGGCTTATCCAGTTTGCAAGCACCATCAGACCCACAGTTTCTTCCAGGGCTATCCACTATTCCAGAACCCGAGATTGATATACTGGCAGATATTCTACCTCCTTCTGGACCTCTATCTAACACAGCATCCCTGCCAACTTATTCATTCCCCAGCGACCAGCCTGCGTTGCCTACTCCCTTCTCAGATCCTGCTCAACCTCACCAAAATTTTACAGCTTTAAGCAATCAGCCTTCAAAACCAAATGATTGCTCCGTCCTTAATTTGCAACCCCAATCAGGAACTACGGCACCTTTGTACTCAAATATGGCTTTCCCGCCTCAAAGTGCACCTACTGGACAGCTTGGATATGGTGCCCCACAGGGAGGATCTACAGCACCTGCTGGTCAGTTAGGCTATGGGCCCCCACAGGGAGGATCTACAGCACCCACTGGACAGCATGGCTATGGGGGTCCACAGGGGGGGTCTACGGCACCCACTGGACAGCATGGCTATGGGGGTCCACAGGGGGGATCTACGGCACCCACTGGACAGCATGGCTATGGGGCTCCACAGGGGGGATCTATGGCACCCACTGGACAGCATGGCTATGGGGGTCCACAGGGGGGATCTATGGCACCCACTGGACAGCATGGCTATGGGGGTCCACAGGGGGGATCTACAGCACCCACTGGTCAGCTTGGCTATGGGGCCCCCCAGGGAGGATCTACAGCTCCTTTCTATCCACAGATGGCTTCAACAAGCAGTTCAAATCCCCAGGCTAATGGTGGTGGAGGCTATTTTATAGAGAATGTAGGATCTGCTGCTTCTGTTACGACACAAATTGCTCAGCAAAATCCAAGTGGGCCAGCTGCTCCACTTGGCAGTGGAAACATGCAGCATCATGGCGTTACATCCCAGCCATTAGCTTCACATGGAGCTTATCAGGTACAAAATGGACATGCTGCACAGCCAAGGAGTGATGATTTTCTGGGCGGCATTCTTCCGCAAGCTGCACCCCCTCAAGTTCCGTTACAACAAGGTTTTCCAACCTTAACAGATTCACTTTCAATAGCATCTCAACCGTCTAAGGGCAAGTTTGAGACAAAGTCAACAGTCTGGACTGACACTCTTAACAGAGGGCTAGTTGATTTGAACATATCTGGCCGTGAGTTCGTGCTCCCTCAGATTCTTACTTGTGTACGTATGCATCATATCTGTTGTCTCTGATAGTTAACTAAATATGTTGCTCTATGTGCAGCTAAAACAAATCCATTGGCAGACATTGGAGTGGATTTTGATTCCATAAATCGGAAAGAGAAGAGGATGGAGAAACCTACTACAACTGCAGTAACTTCTACTATCACCATGGGTAAAGCTATGGGATCTGGTTCTGGAATGGGTCGTGCCGGTGCGGGTGCCCTCAGAGCTCCATCGAACCCAATGATGAGTTCAGGTATGGGTATGAACAATGTTGGCATGGGAGGGCCTTACGGAGGAATCAATCAACCCATGGGAATGGGAATGGGTATGAGTATGGGTATGAACAATGCTGGTATGAATCCGGGAATGGGCATGGGCATGGGCATGAACCCTGGGATGGGAATGAACCCTGGGATGGGAATGAACCAGGGCATGAACCCTGGGATGGGAATGGGAATGAACCCTGGCATGGGAATGAATATGGGTATGGGACAAGGAATGCAATTCCGACCACCAGGTGGATTTCAGCTGGGATCGAATGCTTCGGGTAGTTATAATCCAATGATGAGTGGGTACGCCCCCCAACAATCATATGGTGGTGGCTACCAATAATAAACCAAGTTGAAGATTCACAAGTGTAGCACCAGTTTTACATGAGAGTACCAGATTGGGATGGCCAACTTGATGTGTTGCCATTGGAAGTTCTTCACATTGGACATTTGGTGAAGAGCAAAAATGCTGCCATTTCATTCATTTCTATGAAATCTGCTGGATGCGATGTTCATTTGTTTGATATTCTTTGTATGCTTTAACATTTCTAGCGACATACCCCGAGAGTTCTACAGGTGAGTTGCTTGCTGATCGTATTCTTATCACAATTTGTATACAAACTGAACATCGATAAATGAGAGGATATACCTCGATTTTTATTAGCAACATATAATATATATGTACAATACATCTTATGAACCATACATCTCTGATAGATCATCTCTATCTCTTTTTCAATGTGAGTTTGTACTGTCTTCCACATCATGACTGGTGCCATGTTGTGTGTCACATCTTTGCTAATCAACAGGGAAAAAAAAGACCATCTTTGATGTCACCAGATGTTCACAAAGGTATGTATGCTTCTGGCGTGCATACTTAAATTGGTTATATTCAAGACCGTTGATTTTCAGGTTCAAGGAAAATAGATTTTCTTAGTTTTTCCTACCCAATAATTACTTGGGTTTTTGTCTTTAAAATTTATTAGATGAGATTTTAGTTTTTTTTTTTTTTTTAATATGTCTTGAATATAAGTTGCACCCCTAACTGATACAACTTTCTACAATATCATGAATACAACTCTCCACAATTATATGATATTGTCCACTTTAAATATTCACTTTGAATATGATATTATTCACTTTGAATATCTATTTTGAATACAAACTCTCAAAATTCATAAGCCATACAATAGAAATACAATACAATTCTCTACAATATCATGAATACAACTCTCCACAAGATATTGTCCACTTTGAATATAATATGAATATAATATTATCCACTTTAGGGTTTAGAGTATGAACTCTTATGACTTATAAAGGCCATCCCTAAATTAGCCGTTTGTCTGCTCATCCAAACAGAATCAATAGAATTGCAAAGTTGATACAGATACTATTTCATTGAAATAATACACCGTTCTTCCCCAAGTAGAATTTTCAGTTCTGTTCCAAGAACATCGTAGTCCAAATGGAGAAAACCCTAATCTAAACACCGATTCAGCTTTAAAGCTCTCTAACACTTACCTCTTCAATGGCTAATCAACACCGCTAACCTTCATTCTGAACGCGAATCACAACTCTAGGGTTTCTAAGCTCTCTCGCCTCTAATTCTCCTCGCCAATTGAATATCCTTAGGCATAATCGTAACTCTCTTAGCATGAATTGCGCAGAGGTTGGTATCCTCGAACAATCCGACGAGATAGGCTTCTGCCGCCTCCTGCAACGCCGCTACGGCGCTGCTTTGGAACCGGAGATCGGTCTTGAAGTCCTGAGCGATCTCTCTAACGAGCCGCTGGAACGGAAGCTTACGGATTAGAAGCTCGGTGCTCTTCTGGTACTTTCTAATTTCCCTCAGCGCCACCGTTCCCGGCCTAAATCTATGCGGCTTCTTCACTCCTCCCGTTGCAGGAGCTGATTTCCGAGCGGCCTTCGTCGCTAGCTGCTTCCTCGGAGCCTTGCCGCCGGTGGATTTACGAGCAGTTTGCTTAGTACGAGCCATTGACGCGGTAGCGGGAAAAGGCTTCCGATGAAATTTTTGAGAGCGAAAGACGAAATATGAATACTTCGATGTGAGAAGCGGTTGAGACACACGAATATTTATAGGTGATTGCTCGGATGATGGAGGGTAAATGTGACCCGTCGATTGGAGTTTGTTTTTTACGGTTGAGGTCATGTTTTGAGTTGAGCACGCGGATCGTTATCCGCGGCCTTTAGCGGACGGGAATTTGAGAGAGGGAATTAAAATATCTAACCCTCGCTTTACTTTTCGTCCCTTGAGAATCAATTCTTGTAATTGAACCTTTTTATAATCAAATTCCAATAAAAACATGTTTTTTTGTTGTTAACTTATTCATATAATTTGATCTTCATAAGTTAATAATCAACCGAGTTGTTTGATATCCAACATTCTTTTCTTGATTTTAAAATATTATTTAAATAAACGGTTACGGGTCTAAAAACTCTATTATATAAGACATAAATAAAAGCATAATTAACAAATACATATTGATCGACCTACATATATATAAACAGTAAAGACATACATTTTCGACCAAAATGTTAAACGTGTCAGAGAAAAAAATAAGCCCATAAAAAACTCCACAAAAGAGTAAGTGAACTCTAAATCGAGATTAGATTAGACACTTCTTTCCTAATTCATCCTACGAAATACACTACTTATTTTTTCTCTAGACTCATTTTTTTCTACCCGACCTGATGGTTGCAGTTCCTTGTTTCTAGTTTCTCGAAGGACATTCCTTGTATGCAAGTTTGTCGTGCTCGGATTCTTCATCAGCGATGTCAGCTCGACGTTGATCTTCTTCTTTTTCACCCCTGCATTTAGAGATAAGTGTTCAGAGTTTGTCTAGCACTATTAGATAAGTACAAAATGTAATAACAATGGTTTTGTGTAGCCATTAGACGGGGAAAAAACATCTTCTATGGCTAAAGTTGGCTATAAAAATGGCAGATTCTCAAAACTTCATCAGTAACCATCATTTAGGTAATCATCTATAAACGCTCCACGATTTGAAGGAATGATAATGTAACGCAACCTTGAGATCGTTCGAACTGAACTTTTCGAGCGGTATATATATGTATTTTACGAGCACATTCTAAGAGATGGGTGGAAAATGTAGATCAAGAGAGATTACATACACTGAATAAATAATAAGTCCAATGACAACAACAGCAAAGGCCAAGTAGTAAAGCCAATCAACCTGCAAAAAATGACTAGATTTAGACAAACAAAACGTCCCATATGACTCGTGAAAGAAAAGAAAAGAACGACGTGATGGTGACGAATGACCACGAACCATCTCATTATATGCGATGACACGAATTACGATCGACCACATGTCCGAGGTCAGTAAAGAGAGGTTCAACATTGTGGATCCGCTAACCTGCCAAAATGCATACTTTTAGAACCAAATTCTAATGTAAGAGGTGCTAGAGATCTAAAATACTAGCAGACTATTTGGGAGATGCTGAACCGTTCAGCCATAACCTTGCATAATATTGATAATAAATATTCCAATCCATACCTGAAGCAGTACAGGGACAAGCGAGTAAAACATGAACATAGCCACAGAAAACCCAGCAAAAGGAATTGCCTGAATGAAATAAGATAGAAAACAATAACAATCGGGTATCAAATTATAGGAGAGATTGAGTATACTTCAAGCCTGCCGCTAGCGATATTGTCCTCTTTGAATTTTTCCTTTCGCACTTCTCCTCAGGGTTTTCAAAAAAGCGTCTGCTATGGGAGGTTTTCATACCCTTATAAAGAATGTTTTGTTCTCCTCTCCAACCGATGTGGAATCCACAATCCACGCCCCCCCTCTCGGGGCCTAACGTCCTTGCTGGCACATCACCTCGTGTCCATTCCCCTTCGGAACTCAACCTCCTTACTGGCACATCATCTGGTGTCTGGCTCTGATGTCATTTATAACCGCCCAAGCCCACCGCTGGTAGATATTGTCTTCTTTGGGCTTTCCTTTATGGACTTCCCCTAAAAAATTTTAAAACGCGTCTGCTAGAGAGAGGTTTCCACACCCTTATGATTCGTTCTCCTCCCCAACCAATGTGAGATCTCACAATCCATCCACCTTCAAGGCCCAGCGTCCTTGCTGGTACTCGTTCCTCTCTCCAATCGATATGGGATCTCACAAATTAACACTAAAAACTCCATCTATGCAGCCCATCTCTTAAAGTTTTGGCAAGTAAAAGTAAGTCATATGGATTAAACGGCTTGGCTTCATAAAAGATCCAGTGACAGACGAAACCAACAGCAGAAGCATGTCAGGTTGATGGATTCCTAGCTGCCCCCCATTTTTGCATTTGGCATAGGATTTTCATTTCGGCTTGATGTTGCAAATGAAAACATCTTATCTTTATCAAACTGAAAGGTATTCTCTTTATGAAGTACTACATTTCTAAGGAGGGAAGGTATGCTATGTGACAGTGCGAGTTAAAGAGAGAAAGAGAAGAGGCCTTACTGCTCCGGCTGTCCATCGAATGGATATTAACTCATTGCGCTCAATTATGCTTCTAAGGAAATCATCAAGGGAAACAGGATACATAAACTTTTAAAAGATGCCACAGGCACCACAGTCACTTTAGTGCCCGCTCGATTTCGAGACATTTCTTAGACCAAAAAACCAAAACAATATCACATCGAGACATATATAAAATTTATGTATATGCATAAAAAAATACCATAGAACATTGAGACGTATATAAAATTAAGGATACATTTGAATTGCACTAACGATGGCACCGAAGGTGCCCAACATCGCCATTAACTCAACTCTATCAACATTCTTCACCAAAAATTCCTTCAGCAGAAAGTTAAAATCTAACATTTAGAACGTGTTCAATAATTGTATATCACAAACCAATCAACAAATGGCTTGAGTCTATCTGTAACGGAAAAAGTAACTGCTACTGCACACATGTGGCCTTACCTCGCTGACATTAGTAACAGCATAAAGGGTAGCACCAGCTATAACAAGAGCATCCCCTTTAAGTGGGCTGGTTCCTCCTGCAGGTCATATTGGTGCATGTAAGTACAAGGAAACATCATTTTGCAAGGTTCATCATGAAAATGCTTACAGATGTAATAGAATGTCGTAAAAATCAAATTGGGGTTGGTCGGAGAGGGGAATGAAGCATTCTTTATAAGGGTTGGAAACCTCTCCCTAGTAGACGCGTTTTAAACCCTTGAGGGGAAGCCCGGAAGGGAAAGCCCAAAGAGGACAAATATCTGCTAGCAGTGAGCTTGAGCTGTTACAAATGGTATCATAGCCAGGCACTGAACGGTGTGTCAATGAAAACACTAGTCCCCCAAGAGAGGTGAATTGTGAGATCCCACATTAGTTGGAGAGAGGAACGAAGCATTCCTTATAAAGGTGTGGAAACCTCTCCCTAGTAGGCGCGTTTTAAAACCTCAAGGGAAAGCTCAAAGAAGACAATATCTGCTAGCAGTGGGCTTGAGCTATTACAAATGGTATCAAATTCAGGCACTGAACGGTGTGTCAACGAGGACGCTGGTCCCCCAAGGGGGGTGGATTGTGAGATCCCGCATTGGTTGGAGAGGGGAACGAAGCATTCTTTGTAAGGGTGTGGAAACTTCTCTCTAGTAGACGCGTTTTAAAACATTGAGAGGAATTCCAAAAGGAAAAACCCAAAAAGGACAATATTTGGTAGCAGTGGGCTTGGGCTGTTACAGGGTAAGGTGAGAGAGAGGAAGAGAGGACTTAATGGTGTTCGTGCCGTTACCAGCTTGGTCACCAGCATGAACGTCAGAAAAAATGACCATGACAAGACCAGCAACACAAACAACAACACCGGCTATCTTCCTGAATCTGTATTTTGTTTTCAGGAAAAGCCAGGTTAGCAGCATAACACAAGGGATTGTCCAACAATCCAGCAGCATGACACTTGTCAGAGATGTGTACTGATAGGCCTTCACAACTGCACCTCACATCAGCACAACGTCAGTATCAAATTATTAAACATTTAGGCAAAGTATTACGATAGAAGAAGTAAAGACTAATATATATATAGACTTCTATAGCTCATGACTCATGGGCAATGATGATTAGAGAAGGTTCATGAAAATCCTCTTTTACAAGAAGAACACACAGCGCGAAAGAACGTTCTTAATATTGGTATGTCCTATAACGTTGCGTTTTATCAAAGAATATCGTCAAGACAAAAAAAAAATCTCCGTACCAAGGTAGTTGGCTTCTACATCTACCAATCCTAGTGGTACGTAGAAGTACCATTTGGCCTGTAAGATTTAAAAAGAAGATAAGTAAGAAATTCACGCATCAGAGATATGAATTAGCAAAAGAAAAGAATATCAACCGCATAACATGAATAGCTAAACTAAACACAAGGAGTTCTGACATCTTCATGTGGAAAATGTCTAATAGATTAGGGGCTCCCATGTCACCTTACGATCCAGCGTTGCACAAAGAAATAGTGTAATGGCCTAAGCCCACTGCTATCAGATATTGTCTGATTTGGCCCGTTAGTATTGCCGTTAGCCTCACGGTTTTAAAACACGTCTACTAGGGAGAGGTTTCCACACCCTTATAAGGAATGCTTCATTCCCTTCTCCAACCGATGTGGGATCTCACAATCCACTCTCCTTGGGAGCCCAGTGTCCTCGTTGGCACACCACCCAGTGTTTGACTCTGATACCATTTGTAATGGCCCCAGCCCACCGCTAATAGATATTATTCGCTTTGGCCCGTTATGTATTGCCGTCAGCATCACGATTTTAAAACGTGTCTACTAAGGAGAGGTTTCCATGCCCTTATAAAGAATGTTTCGTTCCCTTCTCCAACCGATGTGGAATCTCACAAATAGCAGTTGGTATAATCAAGCTTTCAACAATTCACTCTAATTCAACAGCCAAATTATTATAGGATGCAACGGCCACCTTTAGCCATCTATCTAACGAAGGTAGCTATATCTAAGTTAAACTTTTGTGCACGAAGTGAACTTTAAAAGATTTTCATGACAGCATTACGATTACTATGTTTGGTGCCCAACATGTGCTCTATGTAAACTAAGACTGAACAAAAGATGAAACCGAAACCCTGCCTGCCCACTCTAAATATTTTGAACTTCGCTATTGCCATGCAAAACAATTCAAAAACAGCAAGAAAATATAGTCTGGAAAACTTCATCAACAATATGAGGAACATTCAATTGTTTAGCTTCTTTCTCCATCAACTATCAAATTTCAACGGGTAGCCATTCAATCAGTCCAAAATGTATCAAAGCAAAAAGAATCACAATCACCTTGAGTGCTTTCTTACGGTAGAGCACTATACTTCCATAGACAATGGCCAAGAGGACATAGTTTATAAAGGACTGTGAAGACGGTGCATTAATTCCTGCCCAAAATAGTATGAAGTGTTAATAAGAATGTCGCCATGTAACGGTCCAAGTCCACCGCTAGCAGATATTGTCCTCTTTGAGTTTTTTCTTTCGGACTTCTCCTCGAGGTTTTTAAAACGCGTCTACTAGGGAGAGGTTTCCACACCCTTATAAAGGGTGTTTCGTACTCCTCTCCAACGAATGTGAGATATCACAAGCCACGAATTCTTATTTAGCTCCAAAAAAGTAAACTATTCAATTACCACTAAATCAAAAGGCTTAAGCTAAAGTGATTGGGTTCAACAATAAGTGGGGGTGAGAATTAACCTCATAGAGGATATTGTTTAAGCTAGACTTTTGTACGAGTTCTTAAAATTAAGTAAAACTTAAATCATATGAAGAGGAAAGTAAATCTTCCATTTGCGCTTTGTACAACTCCCTGTTCTTCCCAGACAAGTTGAAGTTCAAACCAAAACTATTTATATTGCACAGAATCCTCATATTTCCAACTTAGAATAGTACATGAAAATCCAAGAAAAAGACGCAGAAAAATACGAAGAATGTACCTCTTTTCGCGAGTTCAGAGGATGCAGAGCCAGTGAAAGTGATAAGAAGAGACAAAAATTGTCCCAATCCAAGACCGATTACGGTCTTTTTCGAACAAAAATCCTTAAAACTGCTCATTATCTTCTCCAAACAAGATTAGAGAGAATAATTTAAGTCGGAAACAAGCGATGGGCAGTAGAGATCAATGGATGAGAAGATTTCCCAACTTGAACGTGAGTTATTGCAGCCGTCAGAGAACGCATTTAACCATCTGAATTCTATAAATTGGGCTGATTTTCCGGAGCTGTTGTTGGAGAAAGGAATTTCACGTTTTATCCTTTTGGGATCATATCGTAGAAATAGAATTTGTAACCGACGGATCGAAAAGGGTTGAATTGGGAATTGTGAATTAAATCTTGATTGGGGCAAAATCATATGATATGATCGGCCCTATTGGTAGTCAAAGGCTACCAAAATTTCAAATATTTTATACAAGGCTTCGCCAACGCCATGGATTTATCTCAAGAAATGATACCTACTTTCAAAAATTAATGAAAAATATATTTTTTAAAATTTAAGAATATTATAGAAACTTTTTTATCACATCGAATCCACCTCCTTTATTTTACAAAAAAAATAAAATAAAAAATGTTGTCACTAATTCTCCTAATCAATGTGAGATCTCACAATTCACTCTCTTTGAAATCAGCATCCTCGTTACCACACTACTTGGTGTCCACCCCCTTTCGGGGCTCAGCATCCTTGCTGGCATACCGTTCGATGTCTATCTTTGATACGATTTGTAACAGCCCAAAACTAAACGGTAGCAAATATTGTCCTCTTTGAGTTTTCCCTTTACAGCCCATTTTAAAACACATCTACTACGGATAGATTTTCACATACTTATAAATAATGGTTTGTTCCTCTCTCCAAACAATATGCGATCTCATAACTTGAGTATAAGTAAATTGTATTGACAAGTTGATTCCACGTGAAATCTCGTACTTTTGATGCATTAAAAGAAGTCGGGTTTGGCGATGCAATAAAAATGAAAAATAACTAAGTAAATAAACGAAGTAAAAACTCAGAGCAACGAACTCTTGCTTTACTAGAACATTCCCACACGCTCCAACCTTATCATTACCTAAATGTACTACTATCGTGTATTAGTCGGTCAAATCTCGAAATGTCATTTTCAAAATACAGGCACGTAAATTCCATTGATCTATCTCAATGCTAGATTTTATAATAACTTCTCATGAAATTTATCTTTAGTTTGCCTCGTATTAAGAAAGGTTATGACTCCACTTTTTTTGGTTGTTGAACAGTTTAGTAAAACGACACATTTTTATTGACAGTGAATATTGATCGTTTAGGGCAAAGACGATACGAACATTGAGATAGAGTAATTAATCAACCTATTCAATTTTTGGAACAACTAACTCAATATTTAGCCTAATTACTACTTGTTCTTCAATTATTGAAGCCCAACATTTAAACCAACAAAATTTATATTTATTATATGAAAAATAAATTAAACTATAAATTTAGTTCGGACAGATTTAATCTTAAAAAATATATAATATTAAACTTTTAATTTTTTAATTTTTTAAATTTTTAATAATTTACGATCTAAATCGACTTTATTAAATCATTTAATTTTATATATAATATATATAATTTTGTTAGTTTAAGAAACAAGGATTAACCTATAATTTTACACCCGCGAAAAAAAGAAAAATCTTCGTCGAATGTCCGTTGCTGTGCTCGTGACCGCGCGTCGGGGTTGTCAACAGAGAATCAGCTCATCCTTCTGAAATTTCTTAGTCCAATCTCCACTGAATTTGTCTCAGGTGATCGGAATTTCAGTTTCTTGTAATAGGTCATCAAATTTTGCTTTTGGAATTGACGGCCAGTGGCAAGTGGATAGACGAATGGAGATTGAAGGGGCTGTGTGAAGACGGGTCCTGATTTTATCACGGGGGACATAATTGAATTGTTCATATTTTGATTCTTCTCATGATTATGTAGTTTTTCTTGAGTGGTTTAGTTTTAAAATCTGTCTCTCTTTGTATTTCTTACTGGCTGCGATTTTGCCTCATCGCCATTGTTGTTTATTCTTTCTTTGTGCAGATGGAGCAGTCTATATCATCACTGGCATTCAAGGGATCCGTAGCTGAAGCAATTGTCGAATCCAAAAATCAAAGAAAACTATTTGTGGTTTATATTTCCGGTAAATTTTTAGTCGTTCTACCTTACTCAAGGGTTTTTCTGATTTGGACGTCTTTTAGATGGAAGGAGGAAAGTCAACTTTTGTTATCCTTAAGTAGAGGGGGAGTAACTGGTCGAAGTGATGATGTATATCTATACTTTCTCCCTTTTTCCCTGTATGTTTCTACTTAGATATATAGCCAACCTAGAGTTTCTACTTGGAAAAGCACCTTCAAGATCAGTTTATTTGTTCGTTCCTTTTTTATGGTTATCAGGATAGGTGAATTATTATGGGCCCGTATAAAAATTGATTTCTTACCCAAATCCAAGGATATATGGACGATTAGTTCTAGGTGTGCAAAAATTTAGGCGAATTCTGTTTTTCTTAATCACATTATTGCAAGGAATTCAGTTCTTATACTTTAATGCTCAGTACTCAAGTAGGCCTGCAAATTTGTTCATGTTCAAGTGCTCTCTCGGTTGTATTACCATTGGGTTTTAGCCCCCCAAAGATATTGACACATGGAGTGCCTTACACACATCTTTGTGTAATATTCCATCTTTCCTCATTAATCTATATCGGAGGCCTTTTGTTTGACCTCTCTTTTCAGGATTAGGGATCCCTTGTCCATAAGGCCTTCACGTTATCTTCCACTCTTGTTTTGTTTAATGAAGTTTCCCTGTTTCTTATTTTAACAAATTCAGTCAACTATGGGAAAAAGTATTTTGTGATGTGGGATTCTTTTCTAGCACTTACAAATTTCCTTATGCTTTTATCACAGGTGACACTTGCCGTTAATATTGTATATTCCACTTAGTTCGTACCCCATTTTCTTTGAGACTAACATGAATATCCATTCCCCCGGGGCTGGCAGATGCAGAGAGAGAGAGAGAGAGAGAGAGGAAAAAAAGTAAGAAAAAAGGAAAAGGAAAAATGAAGGAAAAGAAGAAAAAAGAGAGCCGAAAGTTTTCTCTAAGATTTGAGAATTCTGTGTAGTTAAACAACTAATGTGTGATGGATTGGATGTTCTATTTATGTGAGGTCCTGCAGCATAGAAGTAAGGAGAATGGGCCATGCCAGGGTGTTGATTAGGAAATCATTGGGAGAGAGGAAGGTTGTGTTGCACCTAATTGTCATTTTTCTATCGGGTCCAATGAATGGTAATTGGAAGGGGAGCTTCAACTAGATTCTGTGAGGAAAGGTCTAAGACTCCTGAATTTCCTGGGGTTTCTTTAGCTTGAGATTTTACAACCGCACTTACCTATAGAAGAACATTTTAATCTCTATTTTCTTCTCAGTTTTCTATTCCAAAACCCATCAACAATCTCAAGATATTATAACAACTGACTACTATGAGAATTTTGAATTTTGTGCTGTTGTAATTTATCCTTCTCCTTCCCCTTTTATTTTATTTAGGTGATGATGCTGAATCAAGCAGTTTGGAAAGTTCAACTTGGACAAGTTCAAGGGTAAACTTCTATCTGGAGTCTCAAATACTTGAATTGACGATTAATGTTCCTTCGTTTGATGGTTTACCAGGTGGCTGAATCAGTGTCAAAATACTGCGTTTTATTGCATATTCCTGCTGGAAGCTCTGATGCTGCTCAGTTTTCATCGATATGTATCCTTATATTGAGTAGCATTTTTCAGTTGTTATCTGTATTGCATGTTACTGGGCATGGCTTGACTTACTGTTATGAAATTGTAACCTGAGCAATAAAAATTGGTTTGTACATCCTTTGTTTCTTGTTCAAAAAATAAAAAAAATAAAATTGGTCAATGTTGATTTCACATTGGCCTTGACGTTGGGTCTCTGTTAACTACAATAATAAAAAGTTGATTTGAAATCTTTTTTAGTTAATTTTCTATCATTTTTTTTATGCTGACATGGCAATAGTTGACTAGTTTAACAATTTTTCTTTTTTCATAAATTATATAAATCAACAATTAAACCATAGAGTAATCTTGTATTTTGTTGTGGAGACACCAAGACAGACTGAATCCTTGAGTAATTGGTTCCAACGATTTCCACAATCAAATGAACAGTTATTGTCTACATTTCCACAACGGCCGTAGATGCTAGGGTGAAGAAAAACATGGGACATTTTTAGGAATTTTGAACCCCAAATTACTTCATTCAATGTCTTGTGGGGAGGACGGGTTGCTAGTTCTTTATCTCCACAACGATGTTGAAGAAACATATTGTTGAAAAAATTGCCTCCAATTAACTAGTCTTCTTGGGAGATATGATGGAAATCCGTGAAACAAATGTAATATGTAGCTACAACCACTCATCTAATTCTCTATTGTGTATGGATATTCTTAAGTGGAGGCATCAAATTTTCTTCTCTTCCTTCTACCTCTTATGTTGAACTTAAAATCTTTCTCCATGCATTGTTTGCATTTGATTATGAAGTTTTGAGGACATATTTTGCTCATACCTTCATTTTTCTTTATGAACAAACTGCTACTGTCAACAGCATACCTGCTGAAACCTAGTGTATCTCCTACTCCATTTATTCTCTTCAGATTTTCAAGACTGGGACCACCTTCCATTATGTAGTTTGAACTTTTATTTTGTTTTCTTTTTTAAACTCTTAGATCTTTTCAAAATATATTTAATCATAAGGTGTAGATTCAAAATATATTATAAAGCTGGTATAATTGTATTTGATGTGTAGATCCAAGTTATCAGTGCCTACTACTGTCATGTCTAAAAGCAGTAATACTAAAAGGAGTGGTGATAACTGTATTATTTATTTATTATTATTATTTTTAGTTAGTGTTTGATGAGAATTTGTACGATTTCTAAATAGGATTGCTATGCTTTTTCCTTGGGTTAGCTTCTCAGCTTTATATATCTTCTTTCCCCCAGTTTCTAAATGACATCATGAACTTGATCTCTAATACTTTTCAAGGTCGAAGTTTTTTCCTTGCATCAGTCTACTACAGACCCGCAGAAATCTGTACCATGTATAACAGCTGTTGGATACAATGGTATACAACTTTGGCAAAATGGTAAGGATTTTTGATGAGATGTTTCAATTGCCACAAGCTAAACATATTATATGTTTCTGTTCAAGTTTTGATTTCTGTCTTGAAATATTCTAGAGGGCTTCGTTGGTGCTGAGGTT